TCTGGCCATCACTAGTAGGTGAAGTGTCATTGGATTGATTAGCTAACAAGTCGCCTTCTTCTTCAAGCTAATCCATCCATTCACTGTGTCCATTAGAGCAGCTCGGTAGAGCAGTGAACTTACTCTATCTGTGCATTTAATCTCAGACATACGTCAGTATGTGATGAAGAAGTGGAGTTTCAACAGTACGCCCTCAGTTTTCTTTTCATTACTAGAATGTTTTCTTTACCCTACACCTAGTGTGTAAAAAAATAAGTCATTTGCAAAGTAGATAGTGAAAGAAAAAAAAGCAAGTATTTTTTTTTGATCAATAAAAATTGATCAAATTACTCTGGTGTAGCATGAGATGCTGTGAGCGAGGTCCTTCACGATTTTGAAAAGACACCCATTGGGCCGTGAGTGAGGCAGAAAGTATGTTTGCATGGGACAGGATACTAATGCTAAAAAGCAGTGAGACTTTTTGTAAGTTAAACAAATAGACACAAGAATGCAGATTACATGTGAAGGACAAATATACTGTATTTAATTTTTCCTTTTACATTGCATTACATTTTTTGTTTTTGTTTTAATGTTCTTATGTGTTTTGAGTTACTAATGCTACGTTCACACTGCAGGCGAAAGCGCATCAAATCTGATTTATTTTTTTGATCCTATGCGACCCATATCCGATCATGGTATGACAGTGTGAACAGCACAAATCCAATATTTTCAAATCCGACCTGGGGCGCGGGCCGCTTTGAGGGCTCACACTATAGCGTGTTTGCTGTCACATTTTATTTCTAGTGTGAACAAGCAGACAAAAAAATTGGATTTGATCAAAAAATTGGAATTAAGACCTGCAGTGTGAACGTAGCCTTAGTTACTGTCTACTTCCACATAAAGTGGGAAACTTGGCCGTCTGTCCATCCAGTCATTCATCCATTTTAATTTTGCAGTGGTGGCAGGCTGTCCAGGGTAGTCACAGACTCTTTCCCTGCAATGTTGCTAGTCCAGGCAAATAATCTCTCAAGTGAGTTTTGGGTCTTCCTCGGGTTACTCAAAATCTCCAAAGGGAGGCATCTCCTCTCACCACAAAGGAGTAGCAACTGTACTGTACAAAGATATCTTTGGCTGTCTGAACTCACCGTATCTCTAAAGAGGTGTTTAAACAGGAAGAGAAAAACTGTAATGAGGCAACCAGAGATTGTGGAATATCAGTGAAATTCAGCAACCACTTTTATCTGCGATATCATTCTTTTCTGGCAGTTGAGAGGTGCCTATAACCCTACGTGAGGTTTTGGAACATAGACTCAGTGGTCCATTGAGAGGTACTACTTCCTGCTCACTTAACAGAGAAACAAGGAGCTTCCCAGGACTTGTTAATTTGTCTTAGTTATTAGGTATCGTTTGGATCACATAATTATAAAAAAAACCCCTAAACATCGCTTTTGAGCAGAGTAATTTTTAAAAGTGTGTCATTATATGGAGACAGTTCATTTTATTTTACAGTGTAACACAAAATGTAACAAAATATATGACCCTTTGTTGAGCACATACGTGCAATGGGATGTAGGGGGGAAAACCTCTAAATGTCAATGAAAAGAATGGCAAGCTTCTCATTTGCAGGAATCTAAACAAACGCTGCAGAGTCATGTTTTCTGCTGAATCAATGACAGGACAGATTCTGAGCAGGAGGAAGTCACCTCCCTGTGTTTCTCAGACTCACTTAAATGACTGAGTGACTAATAGGGATGGGTATCGAAAACCGGTTCTTGTTGAGAACCGGTTCCCACTGCTTCAATCCCTTGGAATTGTTTGCCATTTTTGCAAACGATTCCCTTATCGATTCCAGTCGCCCCGAATGACGTCACCACGTTGCGGAGCGTCATTTACCTGGCAGGAAACACGGCGCGAAAGCGGCTCAAACGCTCAAAAGTTTGGTTATACTTTACGAGAACGGATGACAACAGGGCAACTTGCAGTACTTGAAAAGTAGATATTTCATTTAAGGGAGGAAACACTACGAATATGCAAAAGCATTTGCTCACAAAACACACGATGACCGTAAATGAATGTCGTGTCTTTAATCCCGCTCCGGACTCGTGAATCTCAACCCAGCAGCAGCGGTAACGTTTGCACGTCCTCTCCCGTTAATGCGGCAGGTAAATAATCAACTAACAGTGCATATTATGTTAGCGCGATCTGCCTTATTACAAACCTGACATCACTGTGCGTTTAAGTGACCATGATGAGACAGACAGAGTCTGTCCGGCTCAGATGCTGCCAGTTCTTGCTGCAGTCTACAGGTAGCTTCTCCTTTCAGGCCAGGATAGACGAATGTCACCGAGCAGTGATTAAGTTTGTGGTAAAAGGCTTGCACCATTTGCCACAGCAGATCCCCCCGATTTTTGGTAAGTGAATGTGTTTAATTGTAGGCAGGGACATTACTGGATATTCTTGTGTAATTGCTACAGAATAATTTATGTTATACTTTGTTATTGCTACAGAAGAATATTTATTTTATCTATTTTATTATTTTACATTTACATTTTTTTCCTGGGGACCCTGTGACACCCCATTGAAGAGTTGTAGGCTGGATCTCTTAAGATCTCACTGCTGGGTTTGTAAGGCCATGTTACTTGTAAATTTCTATCTTGTTAAAAGAGAAGATATAAAACAAAGTTCAAAACTAATCGACCTTAGTGTTCTCCTTTTTAAAAAAGAATCGATAAAGAATCGAATCATTAAAAAGAATCGAAAATGCAATCGGAATCGTGAAAATCTTATCAATATCCATCCCTAGTGACTAAAAATGAATTTTACTTTTCCAAAACAGTAAAACAGTAACGCATTTACATTACATACAAGGTGTCCACTTGGTGTCCACCAGGTCTAATAAAAGTGTTGAAAGTGTAGGTCCTGTGTTCCCACACTCTGTCTTCCTCCTTTCTGGTGCTGCTGATAGTGTTTTCTTCCCCTCCTGCTCCTGCACAAAGTTGCAACATCGTTGAAAATCCAACTATCAACACGTCTGCTCTGACATTCCCACATATTTTACCCTCTTTCTTGAGGGATCCTAATTTTATTTTCTCATACCCTGTCCCTCCTGCAAATTAGGGGCATAATACTATAAATAAGACTTTATCACAACTGATCAAGATGGCAAAAGATTATCTGCTGCGAGGGCCATCCAATTGATTTTGGAAGAGAGAGGAGCTTCGGATGATGATGTTGACAAAGAGGTTTCAGAATATTTCACATTTCTGAAAATTCAGAGTCTGACAGTGACTTTGAAGAAGAGGATGAGGTTGAGCACCATTTAGTAACAAAACAAAGACGAGTACCCCATCTGCTGCCAGCTCCAGGACCAGAACAAGCCCACCAGACAGCAGGTGAAGAAATATGGATGTCAATAACTGGTGAAATTGAATGGTCTTCTTGCCCAAGAAATGAGCCACCCTGCAGAGCTGTTACTGTGATAAGCCAGGGCCAACACAGCTAACAGTTACTCATGTGCAGGACATCAAGTCTTCATTTGAGCTTTTCATCCCAGATTCCATCCAGAAAATTATTCTGGATTGCAGTAACCTAGAAGGAAGGTGTGTTTTTGGAGAGAGGTGGAAGGAGACCAAATTCATCTAAGAACTCCAAAGGCCTACTTTGGGGTTCTTATCCTTGCAGGAGTTTTCAGGTCCAAAGGGGAATCCACAGAATCCCTGTGGGATGCAGAAACCGGCAAGAACCTTTCCATGCATCAATGTTTCTAAAAAACTTCCACAAAATTTCCAGGATTATCCGTTTTGATAACCGAGACGACAGACTAGCTCGACGGCAGAGAGACAAGCTAGCTGCCATCAGGACAGTGTTGGATAAGTGTGTGCACCACCTCCCCTGTTTTACAACCCTGGGCCTAATGTCACCATTGATGAGCAGCTGATCCCATTTAGTTGTGAAACATATTGCTTCATGTGTAAATGTGTTGTGTCTTTCCACTCACTCCACTCGATTATAACAGATTAATTTTTTTATACTATTTTATAAAAAAAACGAGAAGCACATCAATTCATAAATGTGATCTAACAAAGGTAAAGGGAAAAAAATTAACCATGTTTGCTGTTCATATGGCTTGTAATTGGGATGAAGTAAACATCTGTTGAGTAATTTAACACAAAATTGTTTGATAGTGTTCATTTGGAAAGCCAAAACTCTAGCGGGTCCACCACACCCATGAACACTAGCTGAGTAACAAAAATATGAACACCACACAAGGGTTAAAAAAAAAAGAGGAAGTCTTCATCCCTGTACATGTCAGGGAAAATGCAGAATAAGAATCACAGTGTTACGAAACATCCTCAACCAAACGGCCACTAAAGTTGTAACTTTGCTGGAAAAAGCCATTTCAGTTCCTCAGAAATACGGCAGCATGACTTCTGTAGTATCACAAAAGTCACTCTAGAGAAAAGCAGAACTCAAACTGCTTCATCATTTCAGAAAAAAAAACCCTGTGAAAACTTTCAGGGAAAAGTAACCCTGGAAGTTACTTTTTAGAGCCTAACCTGTCACTGGGGTCAGACAGGTGTTTTGCAAACCTTTTGAACTGTTTGTTTCATTGAAGGAATTCCAGTGCTTTCCGAAAACAGCGACTCTGAGCCTTAAAGTGATATTGGGGTCATTACTGTAATCCTAGGCTAAGCAGCACTGCGAAGATGAAGGTTGGTAGAGAGAAGAGAGGGTGAGTGAGTGGGATGGAGGTCTACAGAAAGTAAATATTTTATTGGGCGATTGGGTTCTTTTTTTATTGTTTTGTTTTTGCTGTTTGCTGTGTTCTTTTTCCTCTTATTTCCCTGAGATTTAGCTGTGGCATACTGCCTGGGATGACTATAATGACCCTGATATCACTAATGACCACAGAGGTTTTGCTTTCAGGATTTTTTGGTTGCCCCAATTCAGAAGAAGATTTTATTATTCCTACACAGTAAAAAATATGATCAACATTAAATCTTTATTAGTGATCCATTAAACTTTAGGAATGTAAATTTTCAAGAGCTGTATGCTTCATGCAAGTGAAGCTTATTATTTTTATTGCTGATTAATTTCACAGTTACCACAGTGACTTCATTCAACCAAGAGTTCAAATTTAAAAAGTAGCGAAACATAAACAGAATAAAGAAAAAACTGGAAATTTTAAAATTTAAGAAGCTGAAACCCTTGAATGTGTCCAAATGTTTCCCGGCTGCTGTTTATGAAATGAATTATTAAAACATTTTTCATGTGAAACTCACATCTACAGATTCACCGCTGATAATATTTTTGTCGCTCTCTCCCTCAGTGGGATCATGAAGCCAGGTCTCAACGCCATTATGGGAGCGACAGGAAGCGGGAAGTCATCGTGAGTGCTGCAAATGTGTTTGTGCAGGGAGAAATCGGGATTGAATGTTTTCCATTCATGTTTAGCAAAAATCTGAAGAAAACGTCTTTGTTTGTTAAGAGATGAACAACTGGTGGTCGATGCATCAGTGTAGAGGAAGTATTGTACACATTAACTGCTGGAAACCTAAATGTTTGTGTCTTTGCTGTACACAGAAAGATAAGGTCTTCTTCTATCCAGTACAGTTTGAATATATAAACAATTTTCCTGCCATATGGAAAAGACATTACAGGAAATAAAACAAGAACGTTTTGCTATTTTTCTGTTCAAACTTCCCGTCTATATTTGTGCCAGCTGATTAGCAAAGACTGCCTATTCTTGCCTTTGCTAATTCAGATGGTGTGTAACAGGAAAGCAACCATCCTTATAGATGGTGTGAGCTGATATCTGCATAAAGCCTCCTGACTGGGACTCAATTTGTGATTGAATGTTGCCTTTTTGTTTTAGGTTTCTTGATGTTCTGGCAGCTAGAAAGGACCCTGCAGGTCTGTCAGGAGAGGTCCTGATTGACGGAGCCCCTCAGCCCCCAAACTTTAAGTGTCTGTCTGGCTATGTGGTTCAGGTGGGTGAAGCAGGCAGGAAGTTCGACAGGATTTAGCAGAGTTCCTGGACAGGGCAGGAAGAGATTTCCTGCAACAATAAAACCGGCTTCTTAGGCCAAGTCTGTTTGAGTTGCATAAAGTTAATTGTTTTAGAAATACTGAGGTCATAAGTCACATCTCTGGAAATTAAACTGAGTTAAAAAGATGTCCTTGAAGCAAAAATGCATCTGGCAGCAGTAAATGTTTGGTCATTTTTAATGTGTTAGATTTTTTTTTTAAACAGTAGCTTCCTGTCTGCAGGATGATGTGGTGATGGGGACTCTGACGGTCAGAGAAAACTTCACCTTCTCTGCAGCCCTGCGGCTCCCATCAAGCATCAGCCATAAGGAGAAGAAGCAGAAAGTTGACAGACTGATCAAGGAGCTTGGACTGGGCCGAGTGGCCGACTCCAAGGTGAGACGAAAGAAACTTCAATAAAAAAAATAAAACATTTAGTCAAGAAGTGGTACAAAAGAATAATAGAATACATAAAACTGACTCTAAAATATAGGAAGGATGAAAGTATCCAAAAGAAAGCTAAAAAGCGCAAATAAACGAGAAAAAAACAAAACAAAGAAGCATGAGAAGAACTGGAAGACAGATTGAAAAAGTCTGATTGTAGTATGCTTGTGCAGGTGGGCACTCAGCTGATTCGTGGGATTTCTGGTGGCGAGAGGAAGAGGACAAACATTGGGATGGAGCTGATTATCGACCCGCCTGTCCTCTTCCTGGATGAACCCACCACAGGCCTCGACGCCAGCACGGCCAACTCTGTGCTGCTGCTGCTCAAGAGGTGAAAACGCACATATTTTTAGTGCTGATGCCATGAAGATGCCCATCTATATCATGTGGCCACACCTTGAACGTTAACACTGAGTCTGAAGTTATGTCCTTAAATCTATGAAGTAACTGGGCAAGCTAGCTCACAAACATCACTACTGTAAATAGTGATGATTTTGCAGGATACTGACTTTTAAAAATGGCCATTTTTCCAGATCTGCATCAGGAGTTTGGATGAACTGGACGATGTTATCTATAACTGTATTTTCCAATGTAAAATGTTTTATTAGGGATTAAGTAAGAAGCAAGAAGGACTGATGTAATCATTGCATAGCTGAATTCTGGTTCAATTAGACAACTTTCGCTTGGTGAAACATGGAGTCTGTGTTTTTCTGGAGACTGCTAGCTAGCGCTGATTGCTGTTTATTCTAGGAGCAGAGCAGAAGCACCTAGAAGCATTTCCTAGCAAAAATGCAATGTGAAAACTGAAAATTTGAAGATTTTTGTCTGAAATGCTTAAAAATGTTAAAAAATCTTCAAAGCTTAACTTGCTGAATGAGCTTAATTGCATTAGGTTACCAATTAGGTTGCCAGGTTGCCATCCTAAGTGTAAAAACAACAGTACCGAAACTGAAAATGCTCTAGATAAAACCAAAAGTACCAAATGAAGCTTAATTTGTAGGAACGTCCTTTTTCAAAACAAAAAAGCATAATAATAAGGAAAGAGATTGACCCAGATGCACAAGCATCAGATTAATTGGAGTTTTTGCCAAAAATCTTTTCACAAAAAAATCAGTCTTTGGGCTGTTAGAAGAAACAAAGAGTCCGATCACATAGCAAAACTGGTATGGCCCAGATCTGACCCACACAATGTGCTTACACATGGCCCACATACCACAAAGAATGACGGCCCTTTGGTGCACCTCAGGTTTGCCAGAGATGGCCCACAAATGGGCCAGCACAAGGCTAGTTGCAGACACAATGCTAGCTCAGTGCTGGCCCAGAACAGTTTCAGCTCTGGCCCCAGATGTCAGCCTAATGTGTACCTTAATCAAGCCATGTAATAACATGTCCCGGAACATAATAGTGCAAAAGTAACATGACAAAACTCTGTTCAGACAGTGAGTGGACTGATTCTTATTGAGCGCTTTTTGACTCTCTTGGATTACTCAAAATGCTCTATACAACATGCCACATTCACCCACTTTCTCTAAGCTGAGTGCTTCCTAACTACATTCATACTTTTGACATGCAGACTGGAGGAGCCAGGAATTGAACCACTAACCTTCCAATTAGTAGGTGAACTGCTCTACTTCCTGAGCTACAGCCACTCAGTGGTCAGGTTGAGTAAACCCTCACCAGGTTTTGGATAAAGTGTACACTCACAAACCTGACACCAGATCTGAGGAGGAGCTTCTTCCCGCAGGCGATACGGTCTCTCAATCACACCACCACACAGTACTGACCCACACATATGGTTCTTACACACACACTGGACTTTCTGGACTTTGGTTTTGCACAACACTGGTCACTATATTCTTCATTTCCGGTTAATACTTGTACAGCTGCTGTTATTGTGTATATATTTATTTATATTTAGATTTCTTCATACATTCTTATATAGTTCTATATTGTGTATTGTGTATTTTGTTGTACAGTTATTTTATTTTCAACTTTAATTTATATATTTATCTTTATCTTATTCTTCCCAGTTAAATTTACCCTTCATTCTAATTTGTGTTGTACAGTTATTTCATTTTTAACCTTAATTTATATTTTATTCCTTCCTAGTTAAATTTACCCTTTTTAATTTTTCATATTTATTTCCTATCTTATTCATAGCCTTTTCCTTTTTTGTTCTCTTTAGGTCACGAGCAGTTGTCCAAGCATTTCACTACATATCGTACTGTGTATGACTGTGTAGGTGACAAATAAAATTTGAATTTGAATTTGAATTTGAATTTGAGATCTGGGCCAGACCTGCTATGTGGGAAGAGTCAAGAAACAGAACCTTTAAATAGCAAACAGATTTAACTCATTATTGAAAAACTACTGTGTACAGTTTCTTCAGGCCATCATATTAACATTAAGACCGCTCCTATGACTATTTAACTGCTGGTGACAAATAGCTGGCATATGCTTAAAGTTTTCCCTTATCTCGGTAACCTGGTCAGCACAGATAAAAGAATCCAGGAGGATATATACATTATATACAATAATATATACAACATAATATATACAATCAGATTGTAAAAGGCATTGAATGCTTTGATTGGGCTTGGCCCTTCATGAAAATCAAGGCAGTTCACATAGAAGACCAAAACACAACAGAGATGTGAAGTCTGTTCTTCTATACGAGTCAGAACAGGTCAGAATGATTGAGGTCTTCCCCAATGTGGTCTTTATTTTCTGGCCAAACAAATGCTGAAATTTAGGACTGTAAAGAACAGCTGGCTGTATAAACATCTGCCATGAAGTGAAAGGTTAGGGTAACCAAAAACATGAGTGAGAAGACCAAAGGCTACCCTAACATGGAAAGAAAGGCAGGCCAAAGGTAACTTCAGTTAGCAAATTGTCAATGTAGGGTGAAAGCCACAAGCTGCAGCCCTCTGCATCATATGGTAGTAGTAATAGTAGTATCACTAAATGAATAACTATAATAAATGAAAAAAAAAAATCCATTGAATAAGTTTAACCTAAATAATAGTTTTTTACTGTTATTCCAGGATGGCAAACAATGGTCATACCATAATCCTCTCCATCCACCAGCCTCGATACACCATCTACCGCCTTTTCGACAGCCTCACCCTGCTAGTCAACGGTCATCAGGTCCCCTTTAAAAACTGCTTATTGAAATACTCAGTGGTTCTTAACCTTGTTGGAGGTACCGAACCCCACCAGTTTCATATGCGCAGTCACTGAACCCCTCTTTAGTGAAAAATAAAATATGTTTTTCAAATTCAAGACATAGATATGTTTTTTACTGGTGCACAAAATGAGCCGTGCATGTCACGGCGGAGGCTCTGCCGAACCCCTGAGATCGACTCACCGAACCCCTAGGGTTCGATCGAACCCAGGTTAAGAACCACTGACTTAAACATTTTCACTGAGCTAACTTCAAGCTACCTGTGGAGGAAACTGTGACTGACATGTTAATTCTTCTTCTCTCTGTTGTAAAACATGTCAGGTTTATCACGGCCCAGCACGGAGTGCACTGGAGTACTTCTCTGGCATTGGTAAGCACGCCTGATTAACTTTAACCCAACAAGATGCAACACGACAGAAAGGCAATGTTTGTGACTATGTTTTAAAACTGTTTCCTAGGATACATCTGTGAGCCCCACAACAACCCTGCTGACTTCTTCCTGGATGTCATCAACGGAGACTCGACCGCCGTCGTCCTCAACAGTGGGAAAACAGAAGGTGTGTAAGTTTGTTCTGGACAAAAAGACAGCAGTGGGGAAAAAAGATCCTCTGAGGTGTAAGCCATCGTGGTTATAACCTGACCTTGTTTGGAAAATCTCTTAATAATAATAATAATAATAATAATAATGATAATAACTAGAAACATTTGCATTTCCTGCAAAAATGCTGTGTGAATGCCTTGTAGTGGAATCGGAAAACAGCAGAAGAAGGAGAACAATCTTCTGAAAAGAGCTGAAGAAGCTAAAAATTGTGCTGAAAACAGCTAAAAAATCTGGAATTTGTACTGAAAAGATGTGAAAGACAGTTAATCATCTCGCTGAGCCAAACCAGTTCTCAGTATACTGAGACGATATGGAGAAACTGAATAATCTGCTTAAATGAGCAGAATGAGCATCACAATTTGTGATGAAAAGAGGTGAAAAAGCTTTTTCTGCTGAAAAGCTGTGAATCGGAAAAAAATGTTGCCATAAGCGGGATTTGAACCCGGGCCTGCTGCTCTGAGAACGGCTGCTCATCTCACTGAGCTAAAACACAGCTACCCCGGCAAGCAAAATCAGTGACCACACTAATAATGTGGTCCCATTCAGCAAAATGGGCCTAAAATGGCATAAAAACCTTAATATCTCAAAAAGTATAGACGTTATGAGCACCGAAGCCGGCATTAGCAGAAACAGCAGAATAGTTTAAAATTTGAACAATGAAAATTGCACAAAAACTGTGGAAGTAGTTTCATGCCGAAGAACCACGGAGCAACTAGAATAAAATATAAAGAATAAAAAGAAACAGGCATTCACACAATAATAACAACCATCACATGCAGTTTTTGCAGTTGAGTGTGGACAAATTGGGGGGAAAAAATTCAGATCAAGAAGCTTTTAGAAGTTGTGTCAAGTCTTCCCTTTTCATCTCAACAAACACCATCCAGTATCAGTAAACAGCTGTTCTACACTAACGCTGATACCCAGTTGCTGCACCATCATTTTATGTTAAAACACCAAATGGACACATTTCTGTATCACTGTGTCCAGTGTCCAACTCTGCCACTATCAGCTGGGAGCTATAACTTTGCCCTCTATAATATTCGTAGGGCTTTCCGCTGTTACATAAAAAGTTGCTGAGAAAAGCACATTAGATAAATAGTTTTTTGAGAATTCATCCTGTGAAACTTTAGTTAGTTCAAACATGAAATCATTAAAGTCTGAACAATAACTTTTGTTCAGCAGACTGCGTTTAACTCACGATATCAGCTGCATCATAGTCATGATGATTAGGTTACAGAAAAGAAACAACAACATCCATAGAAGACAAATATTCCTGAAACTTTTTGAGCACTGAGAAATTTACACTTCTTTCATGTGGAAACCAAAACATACGTTTTAACCAGCTGTCCAGCATACAGTGGTTAGGTGAAAGTGGTTGACTTTATTCCCTTTTTTGTTCTCCAAAAAGGTATTACTAATGACTCAAAATACTTACAGAAATGTTTACTATAACTAAAAGTACATTGATTTTAAAAGGTTATGAACTCAAATTATGGACAAGCTGCTAGCAGGATGAAGGTGCCCTCTTCTGTCCTACATACATTTTTAGATTCACTGGTCAACCAGGTGTGAAAGTGCTGCAGAAAGATGTGCAAAATCAAAATTCCCTCAAGTGAACCTGTAACACATGCTGCATTCAGGCACTGTAGGACACATGACATTATTTAGACTTGATTTGACGTTAGTTTGAATTTGTTTGGGTTAAAATATTTGGCTTGTTTTGAACACTATGCAAGTGACAGCTTAAAAAAAAAGAAAAAATGCTTTTTAATTTCACATATTTGCAGCTTGCATGTTAGTAATACATCCACACTACTGTAGTTGTAATTGTAAAGTTTATCCTGATTCTGTGACATATGCCAGTGATTATATGATTAGAAGTAATAATATAAAACCCTATTTTTGTAGACCTGACAAGATCTCTCTTTGTCCAGATCCAGATCAAGAGCTGGATTCAGAATCGATGTCGAAGTCCCGAAGAGGGATTGGGGAGAAACTGGTGGAGGAGTACAGAAACTGTCAACACTTCAAAGAGACCAAAGCAGAGCTGGGTGGGTACCAAAAGAAGGCTTCAGTATTTATTGATTTTTAATGTTTGTATCTGAAACTGTTACAAAAATATGTTGGGTGACGATAAACAAAGCTAGATGGCTACAAAAAAGAGGTATAGTGAGTACAAATTGGTCAAAAATTCTCCAAATAATTGAATCCCGATGTAAATGAACCACAAAGAGATAAAGAATGACTACATTGTCTCAAATTGATGTTGTCTTTATTTTGGTTTTACTGTGAAACTTTGCTGTCCTGTCTTCACAGGACATGTTAATGACTTTAAATGTGAACAGAACACATTAGTTCATACAGACATGAGCATTTGTTTAAATGTAAATTAATTCAAACCGTTGCCACCTTCTGTCTGTCTCAGAGAGGATCGTCCAGGGAAAGAAGGTGGTCACTACTACTCCCTTCAGAACCATCACCTACACCACTGGCTTCTTCACGCAGTTCAGATGGGTTCTCAAGAGGACATTTCGCAACCTCATACTCAACCCACAGACCTCCATCGCCCAGGTAAGTCTGTGTAATGTCCACTTTATTTATTCACTTATTTAAAACAAGAACTGTCCAGTTTGGAGAATGTGTATCTTTACTGTCTAAGAGGGAATTTATTCAGTTCATTGGATTTTGCAGGTATTTATTTACTTATAAGGTAACACAAAGTAACACAAGGGAGGACAACCAGTACAACATGAACAAATACAAACATTAACTGAGGGATGCCAGGGAACACAACTGAAAATAATCAGGGAAAACAAGACAGGACGAAAAACTGAGCACAAGGCATGTGAGACAAAGACTATGACAAAAAAATTAAGTAAAACCAACAGATGGAAATATGACAAAACACGGGGAACGCAGGGGAAGGCTGATAACTGAAACCTGAAATTAGATATAAAAAACTCAAGATCAATCCCAGATAACCATGATATTAAGAACAAATGGTAAAATACATATTATCACTACAAGAGAAAGTCTTTATACTTGAGTATAAAATAAACAATTCAAAAAGTCCAAACATTAGACGCTTCCAGGGCAAGGCAAGATTTAGCTATAGGATAGATGGCCACACATTTGACACTACAGTACTTTGGTATGGCTGTCAGTCCTGTGGCTGTGAAAAGAAAAAGCAGCCCTCAGTTGTCTTTTTCAATTCACTTTTACTTTTATAGTGTCAAATCACCTAGAATAATGCAGAGACATCAATTCATCACCCCTCTACCACCATCACTGCACAGTCTGGGACTGACACTGTTGTGAATACTGTGGCATTGTGTTAATGCATATCTGACGTCTCCAGAACAGACAACATATCTAACAAGACTTCTGATCAAGTGCATTTGATTAGCAGCTTGTGGGTGATGTTTGTCCTCTTAGTCCTACGGAAGCAGTAAGGGGGCACTTAGTCTTTTACATGACTACATATTTATCTGAAAGTTTTCTTTTTTTCTCTTCACTGTTATTTTGCCTGCTGTTGAATTTACTGTGGGCTTTTCTGTGGTCACTGCATCACCGCTCATCTCTTCCCGTGTGCACGTGTCATCAGTCAGTGGGAGTTTAGCAGGAGCAGCACCTGGTGTCAATAACTGAAACTGCATCATCAGATCATTTTAAGGGGTTTGGGAAACACACTACCTCCCTGCCTCAAACTCAAGGAATAATGAACTTGCATTGATAACTGTGATAAGTGGTTATAAGTCTCTTTTTTAAAAAAAAATCTGTTTAGGTAGCAGTGACAATCTTCCTCGCTCTGGTTGTTGGAGCCCTTTTCTTCAATGTCCAGAATGATTCGAGTGGGATTCAGAACAGGTATTTACTGTAGTACTTTTGTCTTTGTCACATTTGAAAGACAAATGATAAAAATGAATCTGGGATGTGAGATTATTGATGGTGTGGTTGTGTGTCCAGGACTGGTGCGCTGTTCTTCGTCGTCATGAATCAGTGTTTCAGCTCCCTGTCGGCTGCTGAACTCTTCATCGCAGAGAGGAAAATCTTCACGTGGGTCTCACACTCAAGGAACTTTTTTAATTCACTTTGGGGTGAAAGGTTTTCATTATATGAGGGTAAAATTCACTCATTCATTCATGTTGAGGAGTTTGCATCTTTGCTTTCTTTAAAGATGTGTTCATGAAGTGAAATTGTTGGGACTTGCTTATCATCCAGGGACCCGAGTCGGTATTCTTTGCAGGAAATGCACATCTTTACTTTCTGTTTTAGTCAGATCAATATGTTCTCCTCTCATTGCCTTCTTCTTTCACAAAATGTATTATTTTAGGTTTAGCCAAAAAAAAAGAGAAATCGTAATACACACATTCTTGCAGTGCCTTTTTATATCATAATGACAACTATCATCTACTTATTAAAAACACATTATATTTAATGTTTTTTTTTCAATTAATAAGGATCAGTAGGATTATTAAGAAGCATTTTAAAAATGGAAAGTTTATGCATTTCCAATCATTTTGTTTTTTTGACATTTTACATTTTTATGCTGATTTTCTTTCTTGCTAATTCAGATTAAATGCTTCTGACAACTTTATTAGCTAAAGGTGTGCAGTAATGGCACTCACCTCTATTTATCATTATGTTTTCACAGATGCCGTTTTTAACACAACGTTTCCTGTATGTCTTCCTCTCTCTCTGCAGTCATGAGTATATCAGCGGTTACTACAGGGTATCGGTCTACTTCCTGTGTAAGATCCTGTCTGACATCATCACGCTGAGGACCATCCCCGCTATCGTCTTCACCTGTGTGGCATACTTCATGGTTGGTAGGTGGAAGACAAGCTGTGCTATCCTGGTGTTTATTCTTTAATTGTATGCAGAGTAGAGCAGATGTGATTGGTAAACCGATGTGTCAGTGTTTCTAATGGTCTGTGTTATGAATATTGCTCTTGATCTGTTTATCCTTTGCATATTTGAAGGAAAAACTGTTAGACTCTGAGATTTTTATATCACAGAAATCAAGGCAAAAAAACATATAAAGACAAGGTTGTTTTACACATCAGAGGTTTGTTAGGATTTGTATCATGTGCCGTTTGTGCATCTTTGTTACTATTTATAACCCTGGCGCTCTGATTTGTGATTTCGTCTGTGTATGTACAGGTCTGAAGCCGACAGCTGGGGCTTTCTTCTTCTACATGCTCACCGTCGCTCTGTGTGCCTACACTGCCACCTCCATGGCTTTCGCCATCTCAGCTGACCAGACAGTGGTGGCCATCGCTAACATCTTTATGACAATCACCTGCGTCTTCATGATGGTGATGCACACACATCAGCATACACCTGTCCAAACATTAGTGCATACACACCCAGAGCCTCCACATATGAAGATGGCTGCAGCTTCTGGCTCTGAAAAGATAAGCCAATGTGAAGGTCTCCTAAACCTGCATTTTTTTCAAATGGACAGCAGGGGGCGACGACTCTGTCTGATTGTACAGAAGGTTATGGAAAAGTGACCCTACTTTTGACTTGATTCATGACCCGATAGGTTTGTTTATTGTTTCATGTGAGTCACAAGTGTCCTTCGGCTTCACAGGCTGACTAGCAACATACTTGTTTATTTTTTATTTAAGCTTTATTTGACCCGAAAGTCCCTTTAAATAAAAAAACAAAACAAAAAACCCCAACTCTTTTTACAGCAGGCGAGGAAGAGCGGGCAAAGAAGGCACACTATTACAAAATTACAAATGTAACATAAAATCAAATACAAAATGAATACACACAACTCCATAAGACTCCAAAAGTAAAGAGGAAAGCATAAAAGTGGTCAGCTCAAGGCTTTACTAATCAGTTGAAGACATAATAAATGAATCACGTATTAAATAATAATGGCTTAGTCAATAAGTCCATCAAAAAGTGCAGAATGCAAACTGTGTTTATAACACAGGTAATGGTAATCTCCATCAAAATCCTGCAAACACTCACAAAACCATGATGGGACTGTGCTTGCAAGCATGCACCAGGGTATATTTTCCCTTTTCTGGTTCCACCTTAACATCAGGCTGCGATTCTGACACACGTTTACAGCAAACTGAATTAAAGCAAATCTCATAATGTTCAGTTATTTGATTATAAAAATATGAATTTACATCAATTTATGAGGAACTTGCTTAGAAAAAACTGACAGTGAGAAGTTAAATATCAGCTTGAGAGAAGTTATAACTAACACCTTTAATCTTCATGATGGTCAGACAGGTAATGCTAATGTTATTGAAGTTAGACAGAATTTCATAAAGGAATGTATTCCTGTGACATGTAAGACTGACTTAGTTTTATTTCTGGCAAAGGTAAAAGTCTGGGAGCAAGAAAAGAACAGCTATAAAAACACAAATCAATATTTCAACAAATTTTATGAAAGGTCAACAAGTTCAAGGCCTATGTGCTCTGTTTGATCTGTAAAAGGCTGAGAGATCAATACCATGGTTTTGAAATTGGTACTCATCAGGGAAGCAAAAAACCTCTGTAGATGTGGGATCTTCTATGCATACAGGCAGAAAGAAATGAAAACTCAAGGCTAAACCTGAAGTTACCACACAAAGCCTCGCCACTCGCCTCATCTGCTATGTTTCCTTTTCTCCAGATCTTTGCAGGACTGCTAGTGAACATCCCCTCCATCGCCAGCTGGCTCGCGTGGTTAAAGTACTTAAGTATACCCAGATATGGCCTCAGTGTAAGTACAAACACTGGCAATTACATCTATTTTTAACAGTTTTATTATATCTGCAGCAATTTTATAATCACTTAGAAATCTTCCCTTCCCTTAAGTTAGGCCTGTACCCGACTAAACTGTTAAACTTACTTTAGTTACTTACACCATATTTGAGCTCAGTTGGGCTACACCATGATGCACAACATTGCAACATTGTTTTATTGACTAATCATACTTTTTATTCTATTTTATAATGTTTCTCTCTTTTAGGATCTTTTATCTGGCCGTCTTTATTTACATAAAGTTTTACTGCTTATTTATTTTTTCCCTGTTGGTTCTTCTCCTGTGGTGCTTACAAGCTATTTTTTTTCTCTTTGACATTTTGTTATTACTTTCAAAATGCATCATTGCATTTAGTTTGTATTGCATTTGGCTCTACCTTTCCTAAAACAACCCCAAAGATGATTTGTGTCTCCAGCTGAAAGGGCGCTATATAGATAAAGTTTGATTGATTGATGTGCTGATTATCAGTTATAAGGTAAGATCAGCTTTTAGAAATAAACCATGATAGTATATGAAGGCATTTGCAAAGATTTAGAAAACCTTTTAACTTGCTGTAGATTTTCACTCCTGTGCAATAATGCTAGCATCACCTTACCTGGAAGAACATTTTGTTTTAAAAAAGCAGTTCTTCAGTAGTTTTTACATTTTACACATGCATACTGTGAGCAGGGTTGGTACTCTGGGTTTAAAAGAACTTTTTCTTCAGATGAAACTCTTGTTGAGTGATGTTTGTTGATTTGTCTGTGAATCTCTCCAGGCTCTGCAGGCTAATGAGTTCACCGGGCTGACATTCTGTGATAAAATGAATACCACTCTCGACCAACAATAGTAAGCAGCACTGAGACACATGCAAGTTAACATGAAGTGATGAGGTTCACTGTGGGTTCCTAAATGAGATAGAAACAGGCTCATCTGTGAGCACAAAGCCCATAACTACCAAAATAATGCAAAATGTTTAAAAAACAAATTTGTGCTGCAATCAAAATTCAAAATATAAATTTAGAGATTAAAAAGGGATTAAAGTTATTAACACAACAGATTCATCTAAAATTAAGCCTTAACACAATTCAAGTCCCTTAGAGATGTTGTTTAAATAGATACTAGGCAAAAACAGCTTTTGTATCAGGCTGTAAACATGTTTATTTCTGCAATGAAGTTGGACATTTTTACATCAGTCTGTGGGGACTGACTCGTTTATAAAGCCAGTCTCAAGTGGTCATTAGAGGAACTGCAGTTCTGGTGTACCATGAGCAAATTTCTTCTGTAAAGTTGGGAGTCTCTGGGGAATGACTCACCTCTAGTGATATCAGAGCAACTGCAGCTTTTGGTATCTCACACATCTCAGCATTTATTTTGTGCAAAAGTAACATGACGAAACTCTGTTCAGACGGTGAATGGACTGATTCTTACATATCACTTTTCTACTCTCCCGGATTACTCAAAGTGCTCTTTACAACATGGCACATTCACCCAATCACAGACTTTCTTTAAGCTGACTGCTTCCTAACTACATTCATATGCATTCACACTCCTGACATGCAGACTGGAGGAGCCAAGGATTGAACCACTAACCTTTGATCAGTAGGTGACCTGCTCTACCTCCTGAGCTACAGTCACTCAGTGGTAAACATGAGTAAACCCTCACTAGGTTTTGGATAAAGTGTAAACTCACAAACCACTCATAAACTCTCAAGCCTGCATTTGAAACATTGGCTACTATAGTATACTATAGTATTGCAACATGGCATTTTGGTCTTCTAACTAAAATAGGAAAATGGGAACATAAATAGTGTCATCATTGCCAGACCTGGCCCACACCTGGTTGACATACACCCTGCCATGACACCAGTCAGTCAGAAGTGCCAGCTTGACACCAGATCCGGGCCAGACCTGTCTGCTATGTGGGTATGCCTCTGATTGTCATGAAAGAAAGAAATGAAACTACTACATTCACTGCAATATGGGAGTTTTTACAGAAGCCTTTTCTCGAAAAACCAAGGAAGACAGAGGTCATGGCCAGAAAGATGTCTGTTGCTCCTTATGTGTAAATGAACTTTCACAATATCATGGATCCTGCTGTTGTATATTACTGCTAGTAGTTAATAAATATAGGATTGTATGTATCATTTGCTTTATTGTGTGAAATAGCTACAACAGTTTAATGTATGCAGTTCAAAGTATACAAAAAGCATCACAGTAAGACAAGATTTGGATAAGATTTGAGTATTTATAAGTAAATAGTAATCTTATAGATTTCATTTTGCTTTACTAGATCTAAAGAATTAGTCAAAGCAAGGGATGACTGAAATATTAGCAGTAGTGTTGGTAGAAACCTACAAAATAGTAAAACAAGCTGGCCTCACAGGTTCATCCAATATTCAAGCTTCTGGGACAACTACAATACATAAATACAGCAACCACTTATACAACAAACGCCTCTCTCATAGAACTATCACACTCAAGATATAGAAGTCACAAAAACAGATGTATCAAGTATGTTACATTATGAGGGTTAATATGTCAAATGTTTGAAACGGGGTAATACATTCATTTAAGAGATGCATTAGCACATTTTGAATTTGATTCCAACAACGTGTCTCATAAACGTTTAGACAGTGCCATGTTTACCACTCTAGCCTTCTTTTAACAACAGTCCATAAACCTCTGAAAGTTTGGAGAGTGTGAGAGGGAGAGACAGAAAGAGAATTTCTGATAATGATCAAGCATTTACCAAAGCAGTTGATGTTTTGAAATCGGCTAGTTCTTCAAGTTATAACCAAAACTGTTGGCTAATTGATGATAGCACCATATCTGCCATTATCCACCACTTACATGGCTGACAATGTATCCAACTGTACAACAAGTTCATTTTGCAGGGATAAGGAAAACATGAAATCAAGCTTTGTCACAAATCCATCTAACTGGCAGACATGGAGAGTCTGTTAAAATGGGCCAGGAGATTGGGCATGGACAGGAGTACTGGCAGAGGCTAGAGCTGCATATATGGTTGAAAACCCTACTTAAGATCCACGAAGGAATTCACTGGTGAAGGTTTGTCTGGGGGCTGGGTCTAAAGCTGCCAATTCAATTTTTAATTCATTTTATTTATACTGCACCAAATCACAACAACAGTTTCCTCAAGGCAAGTTATCTACACTAATAAAAAGAAAACAGAGAAAACTGCAACAAACATATGACCCTGTATGAGCGAGAAAGGAACAACTTCATTTTAACAGAAAGAAACCTCCAGCAGAACCAGGCTCAGGGAGGGGCCCTCCTACATGACTGGTTGGGCAGGAAGAAGGCGACAGGACACAAACACGCTATGGAAGACAGCCAGAGATTAATAGTAACTAATATATAAATGCAAAAAGAGGTGCAAAAACACATATTAAGTGAAAAAAATGAAGAAGAAACACTGAATCATGGGAACCTCCAGGAGCCTAGACCTATTACAGTGTAACTATTGGGGTATCCAAATTCATAGGCTGCATCCTCCTGAGGCCACATTTGAAGGCCAATTATGTCACAGCGATGCAACGAAGGCTGTCCCAATTTATAGACTCCTCCAAATGCGTTCTCCTTTTTTCCAGATTCTTTTATTAATGGCAGGACTTCTTTGAACAGTTTTGTAGGAATGGGGTCTAAAATACATGTTGATGATTTGGAGGAAGTAATTATTGAAGTTAACTAAGAAAGATCAACTGGAGAAAAATAATCTAAATAAATACCAATGGGTATTGAATGCTACTTGTTTTCTCCACCAATTTATGTTAATATGTCACTAGTAATTTAAAGAAACAAGAACTCAGGTATAATTTCGATTATATTGGAAGACTCATGCATTTGTACTGCTTACAAAAAGTTGTTTTTAAATCCTTGCTGTTCTGTTTTCTTTGCTGATTTCAGACACAAAAGTCACACTGTAAATAGTTTAGATTAGATTAGATTAGATAGAACTTTATTAATCCCTCGGGTGGGTTCCTCTGGGAAATTCGATTTCCAAATATATATATATATATATATACACACACATATATAAATACAGAGACAATATAAATAAAATATACGAAGGGGATAAATAGAATAAATAGGAATAAAAAATAAAAATACAAGTGAATGAATTGCACATTTCAAGTATTGAGTCTAATGCACTGTTGACTATTTACAAAAGTATTGCACAAGGTATTGCACAGTGAGGTGAAGAGGCACTACAGCTTAGTTGTTCCCTCCTTTGTCCTCCTGTTTCCCCTCCCTCTCCCCTCCAGAGAGGAGTTAAACAGTCTGATGGCGTGTGGGACAAAGGAGTTTTTAAGTCCGTTAGTTCTTGTCTTGGGGAGAAGCAACCTGTCACTGAACAGACTCTTCTGGTTGTTAATGGCCGTGTGCAGAGGATGCCTGGCATTGTCCATAATGTCCATCAGTTTCTTTAATGTCCTTTTCTCTGCCACTGTCACCAGAGTGTCCAGCTTCATGCCGACCACAGAGCTAGCCCTCCTGATCAGTTTCTCCAGCCTGGATGAGTCCTTCTTTGCTGTGCTGTTCCCCCAGCACACCACAGCATAGAAAAGTACTCCAGCAACCACCGACTGGTAAAACATCCTCAGGAGCTTCCTGCAGATGTTAAAAGACCTCAGCCTCCTGAGGAAGTACAGTCGGCTTTGGGCTTTTTTGTACAGGTGCTCTGTGTTGCATGACCAGTCCAGTTTATTGTCCACCCACAGCCCGAGGTACTTGTACTTGTTGACCACCTCCACCTCCTCCCCCTCTATCTGAACCGGCATTGGACCTGCTCTAGACCTCCCGAAGTCCACAACCAGTTCCTTAGTCTTTGAGGTGTTGAGTTGCAGGTGGTTTGTGTGACTCCATGCGACAAAGTTCCTCACCAGACTTCTGTACTCCTCTTCTTGATCATCCCACATACACCCCATGATGGCCGTGTCGTCTGCAAACTTCTGAATGTGGCATAATTCAGAGTTGTAGCAGAAGTCAGAGGTGTACAGGGTGAAGAGAAGAGGGGACAGCACAGTTCCCTGTGGTGCTCCTGTGCTGCTGACCACTGTGTCAGACGTGATGTCCTTCAGCCTGACGTACTGTGGTCTGTCGGTGAGGTAGTCGGAGATCCAAGCGACCAGGCAGGGGTCCACCTCCATCCTGTTCAGTTTTTCCTGAAGCATACAGGGCTGGATGGTATTAAAGGCACTGGAAAAGTCAAGAAACAGGATCCTGACCATGCCTTTTCCCCCATCCAGGTGTGAGTGGGCTCTGTGTAGGAGGTACAGGATGGCATCCTCCACTCCGACACCCACCTTGTATGCAAACTGTAGTGGGTCCTGGGCATGTTGTACCTGTGGTCGGAGGAGGTTGAGGAAGAGCCGCTCTAGAGTCTTCATAAGATGTGACGTCAGTGCCACCGGTCGGAAGTCATTCAGCTCATTGGGCCGGTTCTTTTTGGGGACCGGGACGATGCAGGATGTGTTCCATAGGGCGGGCACTCTCCCCAGTCGCAGACTGAGGTTGAAGACTCGTTGTAGCGGCTCCCAAAGTTCAGCAGCACACGCCTTTAGCATCCTAGGACACACCTTGTCTGGGCCTGCTGCCTTTCTGGGGCGAAGCTTCCTCAGTTGTCTCCTGACCTGATCCACTGTGACACTGGGAGATGTTTGGGGGGACACATAGTTGACACATTGCAAATAAAACCACAGCTGTTAAACTGGCTTTTTTGGATACTGATCAAGTAATGAGGACTGTTGCTCGGTGAGGCTTTGGAACAAGACATCAGTCCATTCACTGTCTGAACAGGGACAAGTCTTAATTTCAACTTATTGT